TTTTACCATTAGGTGAAACTATTAGGTGAAAAAACGAAAAAATCGATAAAAAGGAAAAAAATAAGACAAAAAATTTTAGCGAAAATATTTATTGTTGGGTTACGGTAGCACTTGTTGCCGGCTGTGTTTTCCAAAATTCTCCTTGAAATACGGTGGCCTAACTTGTGTGAAAATTCGGCCACAACTCCAATTTTTTTGCACAAGAATAATACTATGATAAACAATTTATCTGTTGACACCTTTTTTATATCCTTGACTGTAATTGAGATAATTGAGCTTAAAGTCTAAAGAGCGAGCTTCTTTGAGAGGAATTACGGTAAAAAGAACTGACGTTTCTAGAAAAAATGACAGTAATAAAATGTATTTAAAATTCCAGGAATTTAAACCTATTTTAACTGGGAAAAAAATTTCCAATTTCAGAGTCAAAAAACTTTCTTATAGAATTAAACTTATAATTCTAAGAAGTTTGGTTCAGTTTAAAAAAACCTATAACAAAAGGTTCCCACACTCTCTATTTTGAGCTCAATTATCCCAACTCTTACACAAGATATCAAAAATGTGTCAACTTATAAAACATTGGTGATATTATGATAAACAAGTTATCAGTTGACAACGTTTTGATATCTTTTACCGGAATCGAGATAATTGAGATCAAAGTTGACGAGATGGGCTGAGATTACACAAAATACGGTGACTGAAAAAGTGAGTGAAGTTTTCAGAGAAAGTGAGTGAAGTTTTCAGAGAGAAAAATACAGTAAGCAAATGTATCTAAAGTTTCGAAATTGCAAAAATGTTCTCGCCGAGGGAATTTTTTGAAATTTCAGAAAGTTTTTTCTTCCAAAAAACCCATAATTCCAAAACACTTGGTTCATTCAGATTATGCTAAAAAGCTAAAGGCAAAACCAATATGGTGTGGGTTGATGTGTTTGTTGTTGGTATGTATTATGCATTTTAGATCATGTGGTCGGTGTGCCAACAAATGAATTTCGATGGGGAGAAGAAGAATTAGTGTGCCCAGTTAGCTAATTGAGAGAATATTTCGAAAAGGAAAACAGGGAAATTTTTCGCTAGGGAAAAGGAAATTTTCGAAAGAAGTTCACACTTTTAGTCTTAAGTCTAACTAAACAACGTTAAGGAGCAAAAATAATGAGTAGTTTGAAATTTTGATATCTTGAACTTTTGAAATTCAACTGATCATATACCAAATTGAGATCCACAATCCTAAAAAAACATAGAATTTCCGGGACATTCTGTTGGGGGGGGGGGGGGATTCTGGGCACCCTTTCAAGGCAATCCTATGCTTTTATTGTGTTGTTATCCTTAGTTGTTGGCATTATTTCTGGCTGTACACATACACGAGGGACACAATAGGCATCTAGTAGGCCGAAAAAAACAAGTAAGCGAATACAGGTGGCGGTATCAATTTTCAGAAATTGATAGCTTGAAATGATTTGGTATTTTTAATTTGGGAAAGAAAGGGACTTGATTGGAAAAATGAATGAAAAAAAATTAAAAAATTGAAAGACACTGTCAAATATTTGACTGATTGGCTGAAAGAATGTATGTTTTGATTCAATTTTTTCGCCTTTTAATCCAAGAGCAAATATAATAGTTTGGGTCAATAGGAAATGAAAACAGGACTAACTGAATCTCAAAAAATGAAAAATATATAGAAAATAGTTGTTCCAGAGCTATCAAACTAGACTCAAAGAGACTAGTTTTTTATGGACGACCAAAAACGTGCCTACAGCGACCAGATCCCAATTGTATCTGTGGTATGGAATACTAATATTGGTTGCCTTGTTTGTACGACAACGCTCTTCGGTGACAATGGGAAGGAAACAACTGAAGACGTGGAGAGACGAACAAAATAAAAAGAATTTAGTTGCCATGGAGGATGTACTAAAAGTTGATATTATGCCTCCTGGGAAGATACGAGGGTGTGTATTGTTGATGTTTATGTGGTATAGTGCATGATACTGAATTCACAGGTAATAGAGCCGGAAACATCAGAAACCGATAATTGTTTTTTTTTATTTTTGGATGATTGTTCAAAGATTTTGAGAATATTTTGTGGGTAACATTGAAAATTCCGTCTTCCTTTGATTATTGACAATTCACCCACCTTATTCAATTTTCTGGAGAATTGGTTGTAATCTTATGAGGCAAAAAAAAATTGACAAAAGCAAGCGAAAAATTGGGTCAAACAGTTTTCCCAATTTCCCGGAACTGACCAGAAATAAAGTGACAAAATTCAAGAAACTTTGAGCAACACATTTTTCAATCAAGTCTAAGTCGTCATTCAAACCATATCACCTGAAAAATCGTCATTCAAACCATATCACCTAAATTGATTTTCTCAAAAATTTTAATATGAAATTAGTTATTTGAAATAAGAGATTTTCGACTATAATGTATTTCTGGGAACAATTTCCAAATTTGTGTTGTAGACAGTACCCTTAATTTCCAGAAAAATAAATTGCTTGACCGAAAATGTTGTAAAATTTGAAAAAAAACTGAAACCTGGGAATTCGTCATACTTTATTTGAAAATACCGTAAACCCTGTATTAGAAAAACCTTTTTAATAGAGGAGCCCCGTAACAGAGGGATCCCTGTAACGTAAAAACTCCTCCAAAAGTTGTCTTGAAATTGAACATTTTCCGTACATTTTCATGGAAAAATATTCCGGGAATTCCATAATTTCATAGAAATAGTTGAGAAACTTTTTTTTTGATTTACAAAACTTGCTAAATTTTGGTCAAATTGACAGATTTTCATGAATATTGAACGAAAATTTCGGGGAAAATGGCCGGGAAAAATAGAAGGGCTCCCTCTAATTGGAGGGTCCCTGTAATAGAAAGGCCCTCCGGAGGCGACTTGAAAAAATAGAAGGGCCGGACCTTCTAGGTTCAGTTAATTCAGTTCAGAAAATTTCAGTAAATTCACTTTCCGGGCGAGGCCTCGAAAATCGACTCTTTAGGTGTCAGTTTCTCAAATTCGACTATATTAGCTTCCTGTTTTTAGAAAAATTGTGTTTTCAAGTTCATACTTGTTTAACTGAATTATTTTCAACTTTTGTAATTTCTGTCTCTTCACAGCCAATCAGCCAAATTAAGCGTATTACTGTCAAATTACTCATATTCCATTGGTTCCTCTTCTTTGTTCATAAGTGTGTTCCAATAACTTTTTTGCAATAGTAAAACTATAAAACTGATAGTACCTGCTGGTACCTAAACTCATAAAAGTGCTTGAATGCCATAACAATTTTGTAAGGTCATAAAAGATAATTATCGTTTCTTAGGTCCATGAACAGCTCTTTTTATTGAGCTCGTTAAACCATGAAAATGAAAAGCTAGAGTTTTGAAAAATAGGGACCTTTAAATTTTCATAATTTTCATTTCAAATTTCCCTATTTCCATTTTCCTTTTCCAATTGTGTGATTCACAAACAGCTGCTACCTTACATGATTCATTTCCCCTCCCACACCAAGAAACATGAGCATCTGTCTGTACAGTTTGCTCCACGTCTATTCTTGATAATCGGTCCCCACCTCCTATTCATTCATTTCTGCAGTGTTTCACTCCTCTCCTTGCTCTCAGCCCACTGTCTTTATTTCGATAATGATAAGAAAATGTGCTAAAGTACCGCCATTCAAGTGAAACACTCATACACATACACACACAAACATTCTTCACCCTCATTTTTACTATCACAATGGCATGCCATAAGAAATTTTGGTGGTGGGGAAGAGCCGATTTGAGGCGCCTGTCATCATCATACACTCGTAAAGTTTCACAGCTTTTCACCTCCGCCTTTCTTTTTCCGATAAGACCTTTTTTCCATTCTTGGTATTACTTGCCCTTTCGTCTTGAACTTTATTTCAGATGTCTTACTTCTTTTTCCTTTAGAAATTTATTCATGAAAAAGTTTTTTTTTAGAATCAATGAATTCCGCAAACGCCAGGGATTGCCTCCTGCATCTGGCTAAAGCTAAGCTCTCGGAGCGAGAAGATCTAGTCCGGCTCAATGATCAGCTAGTGGACATTATTGAGAGTGTAGGTTGCTAAATGTTTGATTGTTCCATTTTCAAAGCCCTCTAGGTTCACTTCATGGAAGCTGAGCATGCCGCATTGGAGCACGACCACAACTTGCTCAAAACCGGCGTCCAATCCGACAGCAGTGGAATCAACGAGATCTATGAAGTTGAAATTAGAGTGAGTGTTCATTCCCAAGCTCCTGTTATCAGTTCCAACTCTAGTACATTATTTACTTTCTGTTTGAGCAAGTTTGCATTCTCAATGTGTCAATGAACATGTGTTGACAGTTTGGAAATTATAGATGTACTACAGAAATTTTAATAGTTTTGATATATTAGAGCATACTCTGATAAGTCAGTGCACTTTCGGCGTGCACACATGCGTAGTTTTATTACGGCCATAATAATCTTTTATGGCCATTTGTGTGTTTCCAGCGTGAAATTTACACATGTTTCTATTCTAATTATAATTATCATTTGGAGGGAGTGGCAGCAAATTTTCGGACTATGAAAGTGGCTACTGATATTAAAAAAGTAGTGGTCAGAAGCATACGAAAGTGTTGATAAGACAAAAAAGGAAAGATCAAAAATCGAATTTTTTCAGAATGTTAGAGCCGGTGTCGAGGATATCAATAGAAACCGTCAGCAGCTTCTTCATGAGCAATCTACTCTCTCCCAACAGGTCAAGGAGGTCGAGCAACAATGGAGACACACTGCTCAGTCAGCTTTTGGAGTTCCAAAAGAGGTTGATGAGGAGTTTGCTAGAATTTGTCAGATCAAGTATGAGAATTGTATTACTCTGAAAAGGATTAAGTACATGGAGGAGAAGAATCGATTGACCAAGCAGAATAAAGGACGCATTTTTGAGCAGATCAATTTGATGAGAATGGTACGTTTCGGAGGGAAATTGAATGAAAAAGCTATTAAAATCATAATTCATGTACAGTAGTTTTTGGTAAATCCAGGAAGCTACTGTGGCAACTGATTATGTTTATACAGTACCGTCCATAAGATGTACAAAAACATTTTTTTTCAGTTGATTTGGACCATTTTCAGGAGTCTGCAAGTCGGCTGTCAAGTTTCTGATCACTTTGAAAAGATAGGAGGTTATAAAACAGACCTAGATGCACAACTTTAATTTTACAAAATTTTTCAAAAATTCCTAGTTTTTCAGTTATTCACCGATTTTTGAAAGACACATTTTTCAATCGTTTTCAGTACAAAAACAGAAAAAAGATGTCCTTCAGAAATCGGAAAATAACTGAACAATTACGAAATTCAAAAGACTATATAAATACAAAATTGTTAATCTAGATCTGTTTTAAAAATTTAAAAATTTTCAAAGTGATCGGACACTTGGCAGCCGAGTTTCAGGCTTCTGAAAATAGTCAAAATCAACTGATGTTGGGATTTTGAGATTCGTAGATTCAAAGATCCTCACATTTCTGAAATTCACTTTCCTCGACAACTAAGTGGTTCCATAAGCTACAAAAGCTGCAATTATTTTGAAATTAACTAACCAGCTTCCTACTTCAGAGAAAAGATCAAGCCGTCAGTCTCCAACAAGAATACCTCCTTCGCAAGAATGAACTTCTCAACAGCATCCGCAACCTGGAGGAGGACAACAAGAGAATCATCATGAATGAACACAAGTATTTCACTCGCGACCGTACTGCCGATCGCCACGTCTTCCGTGACCAGCTCCGCCAGGCTATTAACGATATCCGTGCGGACTACGAGTTCAAGCGTCTCAGAAACGAGGAGGAGATTCGTGTTCGTCTGGAAAGAGAAATGAACAGAATCAACTCAAATCCAACTGTCAGTATCACTTGGGACAGACTGAAGGATGAGCTTTCGGTGGTGAAGACCAACTGCGCATCATTGCAACAACAAGTTTCCAATGTGGAGATCAGAGTAAGTCCAAAAAAACGTATCTTATGAAAATTCTCATTTTCTCGACTTCAGAATGCCACTCTCACTCAACAAATCGAACTTCTTCGCTTGGAAATTTCGGAGAACAATCAATCATTCGAAATCAGTCTTGAATCGAAGATTAAGGAGATTGAGAAGCTCAGAGAGCAGTGCACATCTATCAGTGTCGAGTTGGAGAAGCTCTGTGATTTGAACATTGTAAGTGTCTTTTTGTCTTGCTAGGTTCAATAAAAAAGTTTTCAGGATCTCGAGAAGGAGATAGCTGTCTACCGTAGACTTTTGGATGGATCAGGAAATGTGACTACCCACACTGGTAGCGTCGGTTCTTTGGCTAGAAGCTTAAACCATCACTCTACTCAATTCATTCATGAGAGAACAACTGATCGGCGAGAGAGCACCATCGCAGATTTTAGAAGAACCAGCCAATCCGTTCCACCACCAACTCATCGTTATCAACCGATTCAACCACTAGCGCCAGTCAGTACTATTCACGAAAGCCGCGAGAACATCTACACCGCTCCTCATAGCCCATACCAACGGACCTACTCTCCATACCAACGGGAATCTCGCTCTGCTAGTAGCAGCCGCGTCTCTGTGATTGACACTCATTCCGAAAGATATCCTCCAGTCCCACTACCACCGGCACCAACTATTCCATTGCCACCAACACCAGTTCCAGCTGTATCAGTTATTCCACTCTCACCAGCTCCAATCCCAACTCCAATCCCAGCTGCTCGAAACTCGGGACACTATGATGGCTATAGCTCGTCTACATTGCAGAAACGTCAGGAATCTTCTGGACAATTGTATACAACTCAGACCACTGGAATCGGAAGTGGAATCGGAAGCGGAATTGGAAGCGGCATCGGCAGCGGTATCGGAGTTGGAATTGAACAGAGGAGAACCTATCCCGCTTATGACACTCCATACACCCCAAATAGAGTCGAGACTCCGAGAAGAGTTGAGGAAACTCGCTACGACACCAGTCACACTAGACCAGCTAGTGAATACACCAGAGTCTCCCCATCATTCCCTCCAATCCGGCCAATATCTGAAACCATCAATACCGGCTACGAGGCCTACAAATCCAGAAGAAGCGGTCCCCATGAGGCCCGACCAGGTAGCCATGTTGGCTCCCAAGGTATCCACGTTGACACCCACGTTTCTCACGTTAGCACCACCGGAGCTCATCATGGTACTCATAGTACCCACACCCACACCCACGGAAACCAGCACTCCGTCAGCAGCAGCGCAAATGGACACATTAAAATTGACCACTACTCTCCACCACGAAGACCTTCTCCATTCCCAGAAACCACGAAACCATATAATGGAGGAATCGAGGAGAGCAGCAGTGAGTGGTGTTAATTTTTGGTCTCTCATTGGCTCGAACAAAAAAGCTCTTGTCAATAAGCCCCTAAACCGTATCATTCCATTCCACACAGTTTCAAACATTTCGTACAATCGTTTCCAGATTAGTTTGAAAAAATATAGCGAGCTGATAAGGCAGCTGTGTACACACACGGCCGCAAAAAACTTTACAATTTTTTAGTGATTAGGCTTTTCAACATTTTTATGGCTTTAAACAAAAAACTGAAACGCTAAAAAACTTAAGAGAGCACTATAGAGGAGGGACCGGAACAATAATAACAAATCAGAAAAAAAATTGTTCTTCGATTCCAGGCTTCGATAGTGTTGACGAGGACAACTTCCAGAGATTCACTAGATGGTACAAAGGCCGAGTGAAGATTTCGGTAGCTCAAAAAGTTCGAAAAACATCCCTAGCTATAATTTTTCAGGATGTGACCCCAGACTATGTTCAACTCGTCAACAGAAGCTCTAAGAAATCGGCAGACGTTGGTGGATTCCGACTGATTCATGAGTTCGGGAACAGGAGTGTATTCGTTGATCTTCCAGTAGGACTCATCCTTAAGCCTAAGGAGTGCTTGAAGGTATTTGGTTAAAATTACAGTAACCCGCAATCCCAAATATTGCAGATCTACGCTCGCAGTGCTCACTATGAACGAGGTGCCGTTGTTGCTGAAATCGACTTTTTCGATACCACCATCCATACCAATACATCAATCAGAAACACGAATAATGAGGTAAGACAGAAAGAGAGAGAGAGAGAGAGAGAGAGAGAGAGAGAGAGGGGGGGCCGAGTTTTTATGATTTATGAACCGGTAAACACATGTTGATTGACATCTGGCCTGGCACCAGAATTGTATTTATAGAGAATAATGTATTCCAGGTAAAATCGTGGTTTGTTTACACCAGCAATACCGAGATTGCGGATGGAGAGAGTCATCAGCACAACTAAATTTTCTCCTCTTTTTCTTCTTGTAATCCTCGATTTCTCGCATTTATGATACCCCCTAATTATCCATTTGAACCCCAAAATCTCTTCTTATCCCCCTTCACTCTTTCTTCATTTCCTTTTTTTTTGCTCTGAAATTTTCTAGTTGAATAAAGTAAGCCGACCAAGTCCCCATTTCCTCTTTTTTCCCTTTTTTTTCTTTTTCCACATAAATTTCATATTCTATGTGGATTAAAAAATAAACGTATTACTCTCTTTTTCTCTTCGCTCAGAAAGAAACAAATTCGATTATAAACATTTGGTCCTATTGAGAAACATTTGAAAATTTTGTTTCAAATTGGAGGACAGGGAGACACCTGTCATCTTGGAACACAATTTTTTGTTTAATGTTTTTTTCTCTATGAATTTAGAGCAGAATTTAGAGCAAACCCCAAACCAAAAAAATCAGAAAAAAAACGAGTCCAAACTCAAAAAAAAACCCAAAAAAGTCAGTTTTATGAGCTTTTTTGCCAATCAATTCCACTTCCCCTTGCCCCAACACCATATCAGTTTTTATCACGACAAAAAATGAGTTATCCATTTTATAGGGGTGTCTGTTGGAGTGTGTGGGTTGAGGAGAGAAATAGGCAACTCGTATCATAACTCATCATCATAAAACACCTCGGCGCCTCTTTTCTCCGCCATTTTTCATTAAAGTGACACCTCTCCCCCCCCCTAACCATAAGGATCGGATCTAACCAATCAGTTAAGTATATATCACATCTGGCACTGCTAAGTGACCAGTTCGACCCATTCACATTTTGCCCCTCTTTCTTTTTTCTTCGCGTTTCCTCCTTGTTTCCTTTGTTCTCCCCTTCTTGAAATCCCCCTGGATACATGTCCTCCAATTTTCACCCCCTCACCGGCACCGGAATATATATATATATATATTCCATTTTTGTTTTCTCTCCTTTTTGTTGACACTTGAATTTCAGCGCTATACTATGCCAACCGCAGCTGAAGAATTGCTTTTGAAGCTTGGATATTCAAAGTGAGTTTAGACAATTTTAATTTTTTTTAATCGGTTTTTTTAGGTTTGCTCTCGACTCGGAAGTGATTACAGAGGACATGTTCGATGAGATTTTCGAGCCATGCGTTTCTTCAGAAAACGACGAGAATGAGAATCCAGTGATCTTCCAAAGTAAGTCACTTGATGTTTAAAATACAGTACCCAACAAAAATACCGTGAAGCCTGTAATAGAAAGGCCTCCACACTGTCATGTTTGAGCTCAATTATCTCGGTCCGCATAAGAGATATCAAAAATGTGTCAATTCGGGAAATGTTTGTAATAATATTGTCAGCAATTTATCAGTTGACAGTTTTTTCATATCTTTCACATAAGCCGAGATAATTTGATTCAAAATGAAAAGTTAGAGGGCCCTTCTAGTCTTCTAAAAACATTCAAGAATCATCTGATATGTCTGAAAATTTTAGAATTTACTAAACAAAACTATAGCTTCAAATTTGTAATTGACAACTTTTTTCCAAAAATGCCTCTCTGATGAGATATGCCATTTGTAACCGATAAAGTGCCGAAAATGCCGGAACTAGCACTTAAATTAGAGCTGTGACATTTTACCCGCCTTATCTCGATTTGTTGGACCTTATCTCGCTTTGTTGGATTTTTACAAAAACTTGTCAAATACTAAAACGTAGCTCTAACTTTGTTTAGTATACTCTGAAATTTTTCTACAAATTGAAAATTTTTGAACCAACCACTTTTTGGGGCTTCAAAATAGACTATTTCCCACTGAAAAAAGAAAAGATACAATCTCTTTTTTCCCGGTACTGTACTTGCTGACAGATGTCAAATGTTTCAATTTTCACTTCCTTCCCAATTTGCAGCAGATGGCAATTCGTCTTCCTCTTCTTCTTCATTTGAAACAAAACCGACATTCTCCAAAACGTGCAACTAAACAATATTCGGAACATACAACACTAATCGGGCGCCGCTAGATGATGCGGTTTTTTCAGATAAGAGTCGACGAGCCCCCGAGCATAATTACGTATTTACTCTAACAAAAAAATTTTTTGTCAAGTCAACAAATTTTCCCCTATCATAGCCATGACAATTGTTGGGTTGCCTTCTGGCGCCAGATTGCTCCGTTGTCTGTAATATTTTTTCTTTTGCGTTGTGCTGGAAGTTTCAAAGTGGAACTTCTTTTTTTCTTTTCAATAAATCTATTACTGCTTTTTAGAAAAAAGTGGAGCAGGTGAAAAAGCCGGAGGTGTCGGTTATTAAAGGACTGAAATTCAATTTATCTAAAAGCCAAAATGAAAGGACGACCAGGAGTCCTGAGGCTAGACTGTCAAGTTTCCGATCACATTGAAAAGATCGAAATCTTTGGATTCACAAAATTTTTCAAAAATTTCTAGCTTTCCCGTTGTTTGCTGATTTCTGAAAGACACTATGAAGCTTGAATCCCGAGCTACAGACTTTTGAAAATAGCTTCTACAGTAATCCATCAAAATTCTGAACTCCGTTTTTCGAGGTCCTAGTATTCCTACACAAAGCAAACTGTTTCATAAATCCCCAGCTTAAAAAAATGATTACATTCACAAAAAAAACTTCCTAAGACGTTTTTCTTCTTATCTTTTATCCTGAATGACCCAATTATCATATCTCCTACATCACACTTTCATTTGCTTTTAGCGATGAAACACTGACATTTTTTGAAATAGTCAGTTTTTTCACAAATGTTTATGTCAGCAGAAATTTCGAACCGTTTTATTTACAATCTCCAAGCGATGCAGAAAAATTTTCATTTTGCTTTATCATCTCATTTTTTTCTGCCACAATCCTTTTAGTTGTTTGTGGAACGATGTTTCAAGAAGTATTTATTCTTTCTGGAAACTTCTTATCAGTTCTTCTATCAACTCGCATTTCAAACCGATCATTTTGCGCGAAACCGGTCAACGTGTTTCATTTTTCTTCATTGAAACTATTTTGTTTATTGTGTGTATTTGTTGCGAGTTTTCGCCCCCTATCCATCTATCTCTCGGAGAAGAGTTTTGGGAAAAAAAGCGTTGCGTAATGTTTATTCAGTCACTGGGGAGAGTTGAGTTCCCTCACTTTCCTCCTCTGTAACACTGGCTCCCTTTTTTTGGGCAACAACACCTGCCCCATGGGCTCCCTGCGACGTATGATGTTTTTGTAAACGAGTAAGGGTCCTCACGAAAAACGTCTTGAGCCGCGGGAGTCTCCAAATTTGGCGCGGTCTCTGGCGCGCCGGGGCTCTAATGCATTATTCATTCTGTTGCGAGAGCTCGAATATCAAATTCAAGTTAGAAGTGAGTCATTTTTCTTTGGTTTTGGTTTGTGTGCTATTTCAAGCTTCCTCGTTTTTTCAAATTTCTCATTGTGTTCTTAGGAATTTCTAATTTCAAACATTGATGTTTGACTTCTCCAGCCGGTCAATAATATATGCAGAATCGTGGTTTTCAGTTGATTTTAACCACCTTCAGGAGTCTGGAGCTCGGCTGTGAGGCGTACAATTACTTTGAAAAGTTTTGAAAATGTAAAACAAACCTAGATTGAAAATTTTACATTCACAGAATTTTTTTTGAAAATACCTTGTTTTCAGTTATTTGTCGATTTCTGAAAGACACTTTTTTTTTGCACTGTAAACTTCAAAAAAAAACAGGCATCCTTCAGAAATTAGGAAAATAACTGAAAAAATAGGAATCGTCAAAATATTCTGTAAATGCAAAATTTTCAATCTGGGTCTGTTTCATAACTTCCAATATCTTCAAAATGATCTTCGTACTTGACAGCCAAGCTCTAGACTTTTGAAAATGGTCGAAATGGCCGAAAATCAACAGAAAAACACGTTTTTGTATATCTTATTGACCGTAACTGTATGATTTTTTGATTCTTGCAGAACGTTAAAGAGATCTACAGTAATCCTTTTCCCATTTCCTACTGAAATAATCCTTCCCGTCTTTTAACCTTTCAAGGGATTTTGTGTTCATTGGTTTTCGATGTTTGCTCCTCCCTTTTTCATTATCATTGAAAGTTTGCATTATGTTACCTGAAATCGTTCGCTGGCAGAAAATTGGCTTTTATCTAGAATCACTATCACTACTACAGACAACAAGTGCTCCGAAATTTGATAACTTCGACACGTCAGCTCTTTTCACACACCCACAAGAGAGATTTGTTCCCATACTTCTCAAAAATTGGTGGTGCCATTTGTTTTACTATAGTGACAAATTTATGAGCAACTGTCTTTTACTATCAGACCCATGGGAGAGAACAGATGTCACAATGGAATAGATTAAGGAAGGGAGGAGCAGGGTTCCCAACAACTACTCTCACTTTCTTATTCATGTGTAATCCAATTGGTCACTCTTTCATGCTCCTTCTTTTTCTATCCTTGAAACGCTTTTCCCTCTTTCCGTTTTTTTTTGTTGACAAAAATTACTAGCTCTCTCTTTTTTTTTTCTAATGTTGCACACACTGCAGCTGCTGAGCATGATGACTTTTGCTCACATGATCTCACAACATTTGTGAAATTGAGAATTACACTTCGAATGTCCAGTGGCAGAGAACGAATTGGCGGTTCGAATTTCTAAAGTGAAAGATCACAGTGGTTTTGAGAACAGAAGAAAATTTATATCACTATAAAAATGTACATTTCCTTATGAATCATTTGCTCAGTTTCCATATTTTGTTTCCGTAAACAACGAGTACAACTTCTGTGAACTGGAACTCTAGTTCGAAAAACATCATTTCATAGTCTTATTTGGTTTTGAATTAGAGAATACATAATGACCAAACATCTGAAAAGTAAGAAAAAAAAATTCAGCCATCAAAAAATGATTGGCTTAAGATTACACCTGTATCCATTTTCAGAATTCATAAGAAGAATTATTGCAAATGTCGAGGAGTATCATAATCCACAAAAAGTGAATCAACTGAAATTAGAATTTTCCATAGAAAAATTGACATTATTAGAGGAATTCTGAAAGATTCTAGCATTTAAACTAAATTAGATGTTATATTCGGGGTTTTGTGAGCAATCAAATGACAGTTTCTATTTTGAGCTTAAGTACAGTAATCCCCGTAGTTGTAAAATGATCATAAGCTTATTACAAAGAAATTAGGCTATATTTTGAGATGGAACTTTGTTTTTTTTTTCACATTTTAAATACATTTTGTGGAATTGTAAAAGATTTATTGTCTCAAAATCTTGCTAGTCTTGTTCATTTGAACACATATTGAAACTTCGGACATGAGCAAAGACTACAGTAATAACTGTTTTCTCACAGAATCCTTTCGAGCACTCCGAATTAAGCTGGAATCTGTTTACCAGTGCTGAAAATCACCTACTTTCCAATAATATCCAAAAGGATATGAGCTCTGGGAAAACAAGAAGCCGTACCAGTTACCATTACTATAGTTAGGCTGTTTTTCATCAAATCTGGCATGATACGGTGCCGCTCCGTTCTGAAAATATGAGATTAAGATGGATAAGTAAACAACAACTTGTTTTCGAATAGGATATCGGAAAGTGTCTGGAAGTTTTGCATATAAATAGAGCCTCATGGGTTTCCATTTGCATAGCATAGCTTAGATTTTCTTAGCTCAGCTTTTCGGTTTACTACTTCTCACAACGTCTTGAATCCGGTAAGTTGGACATTTTAGTTTACTGGAGCATTTGTTTATATAGTTGACCAATAGAAGCCAGAATCTTGAAATTTCGATGCTGCAAAAGCACATCGATAAATCTGAAACTAACGAAACCTGTTTAATAAATACGTCTTCTTCACATTTTGGAGCCTTAGCTCTCAAAGCTCTTTTCTCTGTTCTCGTTCCAGTTTGCTTGTGTGCAAAGTTCTAGAAGCACGACTCCAAACTTGAATTCGAATAACGACGTTTTTTCTTCATTTCCTTTGTGTTTTGGGATTCTTGTTGTGTTTTAGATTCTCAGAATATGATTCATCATTTCATTCAAATTCCTTCCTAGAACTCATATCCTAGAATTCCAAAGTTTCAGAATTCTAGAATCAGAACTCTAGAGAACCCGGAATTTTCGGGAACTCTATCCTAGAATTTTCAGAACTTTCCATTCTAGAAAGCTTTTCTTGCTTTTTGAGAATTCCCATCATAGCAACTTCTAGTTCCAATAGATCAAGCATGCGCTAGCTATTTTTTATTTCTCACTCGATTTGAATGCTTCTATCCGTTTTCCTACTTCCTAGCTCCTCCCGAAAAACTCCATATGCCATTAACTTCCTGCCATATATGTATGTGTTTTTTTTTCAATTTCCGTTTGCTAGAGAAACAGAGTTTCCATCGCCATCGGCTTCATCCTGTTTACCCGCCTCTTCGGGGCTCCCAGGCTCCACCTCTTTACTCGAGAACCACCTCCTCTCATTTTTTTTGGCTTTATTCGACTCGAAGATTCACATATTATTGTTTTTAGGTAAGTTAAAGATAATGAGAATGGGAAATTAGTAATGCTATTTGCAAAGGATCACATTAAAAATCGGAATTCAGTTAGAAAAAGCGAACGGCATGAAAATGAATAAATCATTTGAACCATGTCTGAACTAAGGTCCAATTAGACTTAATCTCCTGATTCAGCTTTAATTCAATCAAAAATTGCGTCTGGATTTGAAATTCTTAGACAAATCCAAATCACTGTAATGCTTTCATTTATGAATGAGTTTTGCGAAACTTCAAACCTCAATAAGACATATTTGAACTTGTAACTCAATGTATTTGAACTGTAACTCAATGTTATTTCGAAGTTCCTTTTTGGTCATATCTTAAACAATGTGAGCATAATCCTCACTTTTTTGTTAGAGCTCTGTTGGGCTTTTTCTGAAACCTAATGACGTCGTTGTTGAGAATTCTACAGAGTTGTTTACCAAAGTTTTGTTCAGTTACGTCTCCGATTGCAACAGAAGTTTCAAATTTCTAGGCTTTCGTTAAGAAAATTAGTTTCAAATTTTTTTTCTCTCAATTTTCTTGCCGTTTTCTCGTATTTCCGGATTCACAGTATCTCGAAACGATAATCAGATAAATAGGAGAAGGCCAGAAGTAGCCTCTTCTATCTATTCAATTTTTCATCTGACCTCGAACTGCGGCGCCCGCGCCACACTTGTTTACAACTTGCGCCGGCCGCGGCGCCACTGCTCCTCCCTTGTACAACGGGACCTTCTCTCTTCTTCTTCCTTCTTCCTTTTCAATTTCAACGAAATTTCGCCACGCCCTATTTTTTCCCGATCTACGCCCTCTTATCCCGTCAGCGTGTCTCTTCCCGGGCGAGAGAAGAGAGGAAGGCGCTCCCGTTTCCTTTGTTTACGCGGGGTCCTCTCTCGGCCGGACCAGCACGACTCAGAGACGGACCCCCCGTCCCTCCAGCTACTCGTCTTCTCCGCTGCATATTTCCTTTCCGAGCTCGTTGCGTGTCGGTTGTGCTTCGGGCTCGTGTGGCTTCATGGAGAGACGAATGGTAAGTGTTGATGAGGTTTTCTAGAGTTGGAGTAGGTTCATTTCGGAAGAAATAACTAATAACAAATGCTAGCTGAATCTAGTAAACAAAATAAAGTTATATTTGTAATCTTTTAAAGTTGCTTCGTTAGTTCTAGCTCTAAAATAGTCTTCTGTTCAGTACTTTAAATCTATAAATTTGAAAAAGTTTGACATATTTTGAACTTTGAGTCGATTTATCTTGGTACCTGACAGAGATATGAAAAAGTTGTCAATTTTTAAATTATTTATCGTAATATCAGAAGTGTTTTATCAGTTGAGCACTTTTTGATATCTTGCAAAGGAGCCAAGAAAAAGGAGCTCAAACTTGACAGTTTAGTGTTACGGTAGTCCAAAATGAACAAATTTTGATAAAACGGTGGAGCAAGGACTCTGTCAAACCAGAATATTTTCAGTTATATTTTAATGGAGACAATATTTTTAAATGTCTGACACTTTTTGAGAATGTTCGGCTGGTTAACATTCTTGTTTGAGTCATTTTTCCGACACTTGAAGCTACCGTACGCCTGACTTCTGTTTGTTATATCCACACATAATTTGGTGGTTCAAGGTTACCGTAATCTTAGTTTCCACTAATCTTTGTATTTTATTTTTTGTTTTTTGAACCAATTAAAACTGTCATTTCTAATTAGACTTAACTATACAATTAGTTGTTTACAAGAATTTATTTGTTATCAAAAAACACGAGATCCATTACCCCTCCAATCCAATTTTCGCCCATTCAATTTATTTTTCACACGAAACTTCTTTTTTCCCACAAATCCGCTTTCGGATTTTCAGTTCCGTGCCATCCTGGTACCACAAGCCGTGCCAGGTGGATTATATCATGTGTAGCAACAACAAGCGACCATAGGATTATTATATTATTATTGAAAAACAAGTGGTAGTGACGAACGGCCAGAGATTTTCAGAAGCTCTTGAGATATTTAAAAGAGAATAACAACTCTGAGATTTCTCACTTTTTTTTTCCCAGTAAGGTGCGTCATATGAAAAAAAAAAACAGAATAACAAGAGAGAGCCGAAAAGAATTCGTAGTTGTTATTCAGTTTTTTTGGTTGCTGCTATAGCTCATACAGAATCCGAAAACAGAATTTGACTGGCTAATTGGCACAGAACGCGTTCCGTTTCTTCTGAGAATTGTAGATACAATCACTTCCTTGTTTTCGATAGTTACAACAGAAATCGGAATTCTGATTACTAATATTCTTCGTTCCTCTTCCTTTCCTCCTCTTCAAAACTACTATTCTCGCGCCCGATGGCGTGCGCTGCAGTAATCCTTTTTTCTCTCACTTCATTCACTACGACTACCATCATCATCTACACTTCCATTTCCCCTCGACACAAAAATCTCAACTATGCGACGATTGACACATGCGTTGTAAACAAGTACTCAATACGGTTTTGCCCCGACCTGACCGCCAATTTAACAATGTTGAGCGCGCGACGACAGCATATTTTATCGCAGATTTTTCTCCCGTTTTTTGCATCCCCCTATTGGATCCGTTTCTCTCTTATCAGATATCCAATCACCACCAATTTTTCAAACTGTTTTGGAATACGATCAGAAATGAATGACGGTCAAACCCCCTCATTCACTGTCAAAGATGACAGATCGGATTGAATTGCCATTAGTCAGTATATAAATCAAGGTCGTGCCCACTACGCGCCCACCTCTCCTCTCCTTCTACTTCCCCATATTATATACTGTAGATGATGTAGATGTTTACTAGGTATCGCTTCTTGACACGCATGACTAACCAACCCCTGTTCACGCTTCGAAGACTTTTTAATATTTATGGAAACATTTTTCAGAACATGGCATGCCATGGTCCGAAAGGGGAACCAACTTGCAAGCGTCCCAGGACAGAGCCGTTCCGGAGGGGAAATCATAGTGCAGAGGAGCATGTCGACCAACGGATGCTCAGAGTTTTCATGGATGCACCATCAGGATCATTCAACTCTGGTAATGGAAATCGGATACGACTGCCACTTAGGCTTCCGGCACATTTTCGCTCAACAAGTGAAAATGACGAAAATACTGGAATTCTAATGAACCGTTCAGCAGGAGCCGAGAACACTCAGGGCCGACAGATTTTGGCAATCATAGATGGTAAAAGATTTTTGTGTTGGGAGAAAAGGGATTAGTGATTCAGACCAATTAGAGAGCGATGAGCGATTTTGATCACACCAGGTCACACTAGAGACCGCGTGAAAATCCGAAGATTAACCTTCACCAATTTTCAGAAGACTCACCATCCTATGTTTTGGACGATCACAAGAACAACCTATGGCCAAACCTCTTTGCAGCCGTTCAAACATTTCGATACGTCTACTTTATTCAAAAACTGAAGTGGACGCTGAAGTCTCGTGTTCATGAGGATCTGATGAAAGATTATGAGAATGGTTTGGAGTACTTGTTGGGTCAGAAGAAGCCAGTTGGACCATTCAAAACAGAGGAGCAAGTAGCTGCTTTGGAAGATTGTGAGTTAAAGGAAATATGAAATCGGAATGGAAGCAGCGGGGGAGGGCTTAGATACAGTACCGCTCAATAAGATCAACAACAAATTTTTCAGTTTATTTTTGGCGATTTTCATAGAGTCTGTAGCTTGGCTGTTAAGCGTCTGATCACTTTGAAAACTTTTGAGGATGTAAAACAGACCTAGATTAACAACTTTGCATTTACATAATTTTCAGAAAATTTCTAGTTTCTCAGCTACTTGCCGATTACTGTAAGGCAGCTTTTCATAATTTTTAAATTGAAGTTCCAGAAAGCTCCAGAATCTTGGAAATGATCAAAATCCCACTAAAACTACGTTTTTATAAAACTTATTGACCCGTACTGTAGGCTAGGATTGCAGCATGCCCCCAGTCAACTTAATTTAACTTTGAAACCTTAAATTCCCATTTTTTCAGATTTGAGCCGCCGCAAGGCTATCCTTATCGAGGCCGCCAAAGAATACCATGATGGCAACGAGTCTTGCCCAGGACTTGAGCATGAGCTTGGACACATGTTCCCAGTCAAGACCTCTCACAACATGATCGAGTACCTCAAGGTGGCCTTCCAACAATTCAACTACGACGGACCAATCTACACTTCCAACGTTGACTATCCAGAAATCCAGGAGCTTACACCACAAGCACGCGAGATCATGGAGCTGTCCATCTGCAATCACAAGAGTGTGGAATCCCGCGAAATCCTTATCAGCATGGTCGCGAAAACTCAAGATCTCACTGATAACAACATGGAAGCACTGAACGAGTTGATCAGTGAGTGATCAAGCGGGGGCTTCTTTACTGATTTATTCAATTTTCAGCCGAGATGAACTTCATGTTCGATCGAAACTTTGAATGCAACATTATTCGAGAAGCAAAAGAAGCCAGAGCAGTGGATGCCCAAATTAGACAAAGAATTGAAGATCAAAACAGAGCGGCTGAACGAGCACACGTGGCTCAACCCCATTGTACATGTGGAACTGCAAGGGCTCTGAAATCTGCTCAAGCTGCTAAGGCTGCTAAGGCTGCAAAGGCTGCAAAGGAAGCTGCTGCAGCTCAGGAGGCTGCTAGGCTTGCTGGAGAAGCTGCCGCGGCTGCTAAACTCACCGAAGAACGTGAAAATGCCAGAGCTGCTCGTGCAGCTGCCGCCAAGAAGAAGCTCGATGATGATGAATCAATTTACCACAACACCTTCCGCAGTCTTCATAAGATCAACAGAACTACTCGCTACGGTAGCCAATCTCCAAGCCCATGTCCTTCCCCAAAAGTTTAATGTCAAATCCTATTTATTATTCGTAGGTAGTGGTTGTTTTCACAGAAATATTTATTTCGATCTTTCATTTCTTCTTTTTTTTCTTTATTGTTTTTTTTTCTTCCAGTGTAATTTGTTGTTTCCTACAACCGTTACCCTACCTCAAACTCCTTGAATCCCCAATGTGATCTATCTAATCACGCCTACCTCTCCGTTTCAGTACATCTGCCCAGATTCTGACCTCACATACCCATACTCCTGTTCTACCTCTATCTATCTAGTGATTTTCCTGTCAACTTTCTACCTCTATAATCACCCCCAGTCTCGCCATTTTTCTTTCGTGATACAACCAACCTAGTCTACCTCCCCCTCATCTAATCATTTACATATAGTTCAGTCAGAATTATGAGCTTTACCCTCTACAGTATCTAACTTTTATCTCTTCAAGCTTAACTAAGAGAGCCCTGTGGGCTAATTGTCTTCGGTTGTGACCACCGTCTCTAGTTGTAATATTGATCCCAGTTTTTTGTCCCATTTCAAGCCGTGCAGGCTTTTAGAGTTAGTCCTTAAGATTTCCTCATTCTACACGCCATAGTCATAGCGCAACTATCGTAGTTGGTCGCATTTTCTGTCCCCCATTCTTTATTTTTTCTCATTTTCTGATACAAAAAAAACCCCCAAAAAATCCAAAAAAATCTCTTTTCAAATCTTCCAAGACATCTCGCGCCCTACCTCACGATGTAACAGGTTGTATGACCAAAGTGTGCGACCGACTGTGTGGAGAATTTTTCTAAGAATTGTCCGCCGATGAGCCGTTACCTTTTTTCATCCCTGTTAGGCATTACCCCCCTTTTTTGTCTTTTTCTCATTTTTTCCCCGCAATTTTTTTCAATTTGATCCCCAAATCACGCCCCCAGAACTTTTCTACCGTTTTTTTAATTTCTAAAATTCAACTGTCTTCCCATCACCTACTAACCCTTGAAAATCCAAAATCCAAAACCATACATTTCTATTTTTCTCTCGATTTTCTTCTCACTTCTTGTCGAGCTTTTTTCCCTAAATAATTATTTTTTAATAATTTTATTTCTCTCAAAATTCTAAATCTCTCTTTCTCTCTCTCTCTCTCTCTCTCTCTCTCTCTCTCTCTCTCTCTCTCTCTCTCTCTCTCTCTCTCTCTCTCTCTCTCTCTCTCTCTCTCTCTCACTCGTTTCTTGTCTAATTTGGCAGCTATCTTGCGTCAATTATATATTTCATCCCAGTTTTCAATGTTCCCGTTAGTATTGTGTTGTGGTTGTCCATCCGCTTCTGAATAAAGTTAATCACGTGCCCAAAAACTTATTTTAAGCAGAAAAAAGTCATAACACATTTTCAGATGGATGAGTCCTATTTTGTAGGACAATCTCGAGTCAATCTGATGAGAAAGTGACAAGAAAGGATTGACTGAGTATTAGGGAGTTGCAACAAAAAAAGCGGGGGAGAGAAGAACGGAAAGACGCAGCAGCAGCAACAGCAGAAAAGCGCATTTTGGGAACTTTCGCTCCAGTGGGTTTCTGAGTTTTTCTTATGTTTGTTGCTCAATCACGCTTGTTTTATTTTTTGCAGGCGACTTCTTTTTTCAGCACGTGCAATAAACGATTCCTCTTATTTCTTGTTTTGTAGCAAGCTTTCATGTTCAAAAATTTCCGGAGAAAAAAATGAAACGATTTTAAAACTTACAAACTGATTAAAAACATTGGTGAACTGTAGGGCCGAAATCTCTCACAAAAATTTGAGTTTACGTGTATTTTTGTAACAAGCACTGAAAAGTTGAAAACCTCCGAGCTGAGTATCAGGCTCTCCACATCTTTACCATTTAAGCTGCGCGGTTACCAACGTGATCGTTACTACTTTACTGTTTGAAAAAGAGGATTTGAGTTTAAGATCAATTTCTTAGAACTTGTTTTCATCATGGTGGACAACTTTAAGATGGGTAACGATTTTAATACGGATGACAGATCCCAGACTTTTTTGTTTTGATATAATGCATCCATCTTGAAGTGAGACTCTAAGACATCTAAATATCCTGTTCTATTCTCTTGTTTGTTCTCATTATACAGTAATCCTTATAATTTAAAAAAAAATCGGCAACGTATTGTTGGATTGTTGAGTTCTGAAGTCAAAGTAATGTATTTCGAAGTAAGGATATGATATTGCCAGTGATGGTTGTATTTTTTTCCAAAACCGTTTTTTTTCAATTGCGTTTCGGCAACTTTGACCATTATCAGGAGAATGGAGCTCGAAGATCAAGTTTGCGATTAATTTGAAATTTTCGGAGGTTGTAAAAAAGATCTAGGTCAAACACTTTGCATTTACAGGATCTTTTTTATTTTGCTATTTGCCGATTCATGACATACACCTGTTATTCCAAATTTTCAAAAAAAAAATGGTCCGATCGGTACTGTTTATAGCACCATCAATTTTCAATTTTAAAGTTAGGATGAGCTATTGCAACTGGTATCAATTTAGATGAAGTTTGAACTTTTATTTGTTAGTTTGAGTTCATTTTCAGTCAAACAATTTTCAGATTCCCCATATGATTGGAATGTTTCTCTTTACCTAACTTTTCAAGAATCTTCAAGGACTTGCTAATTTTTACTTACCTAAGTTCAAAGCCACCAAGAATTTTTATAATTAGAAACTATTCATAGTGGCTTTTGAATTCATTCAAAATAAGTATAACTTTTTCTTAGATAAAATTCGTCGATGATGTTTGAAGAGCATCTTTTATTCATACAAGTTTTTTTTTTTGAATTTTGGTACAATGACACTATTCAGCTTTGAAAAGTGTTAATCAAACTTTGATCGTTTCGTTTTCAGCCATTTTCCACTATTTTTATAATGAACTTTATATATTCTCCCATACAAGCAAAAACTATTTATTTTTAATCCAGTTTTCTATTGTATAGAACTGATGAGAAGACTGATATCAATCTAAGAGAAATTCTCAAAAATGCCGGATTTCTGGTAACTATTTGTCTAGTGCTTCTCCGGAATAACTTATTTACTAGACACCTCAAGTCCTCTAGTTCATTCTAGTTATTCATCAAAGTACAGAATCCTTGTCTCAACCCTAAAAAAAGCTCCAACCCCTTCATTCTCGTTTTTTTGTTCGTGGGAGGACGCGCTCTTGACACTCCACACCCAAATGACGCCAATTGTTTTGTATTGTATTGTTCGGGTGTGAATAGTCGGTTTGAAAACGAGAGCACCTGGCCATAAAAGTTTCATTGGTTTTGGAGGCTCTCAAAAATAGAGATGAGCTTTTGAGCGGCCTAAAGCAAGAAAAAAAGCACACATGCAAGCGGAACAAACGTTTTTGCGCCCCGTGTGTCCATGTGCTCCTCGTTTCTTTCTTCAGTTGTGCTTCATCAGAATTCTTCATAGCGATGAAAATTCAGTTTGCGTTTGATGTTGTTTGTGCTGAGTAGGAGGAGCACGCCGAACACACTCTTGTAGAAATGACATCGGCGCCGTTCTCCGTTCCCCTTCTGAGTAGCTGCAGTATTTTTTGTCGGTCAGCCGGAATGTTCCAGAGATACTCGTTTTACTATTTTTCTGCTCTTTCAGAGTCATCCTTTTTTCTATGTATGCCCTGTCACTCATTAGGTAGTAGAGATAATTCCATGTAAATGTTTTTAGAAATTGGAAAATATCATCTTCTGAACGGTTCACATTACCTAGGCACAGAATTCCGAGGGTACAAAAAGTTTTTGTGTCACAATTCAGGGTTACAAATTTTGATTTTTTTTAGTATTTTGTACCTCGAATTAAGGATTTTGTGCTCCTGAATCAGGTTTCTTGTGACCTCACCTGCCAAATTATTGGCCTGAACAAAGTTAAAGCATCTTATGTCCCTGGAAAAAGTTTAATAGCACTCAACTAAAACGTTTTTGTTTCAACTTCATTCAGGATTCTTAAAATTGGATTACTGTAAATTTTTAAAATAAATTACCGTTAAAATCCATCTTTAAAGCTAATAATGGAAAATACATTTTATATCAAATAAACTCTGAAAAATTGTTTTTTCAAATCTTAAATTTGCAAAATGTCCAGCACCAGCAACCAATTGAAATTCCAAGAATCTGCTACTTCTAACTAACTAACACGATAATATTCCTATTACAGTAATCTTTATTTTCCTCACTTCCCTCTCAATACATCAAAAAACATTGAAGACCAAAGTTTCTCAAAAACCACACAACTGTTGTTGGCAGCGGATCCTCAGTCAGTCGAGACCGATCCTATGTCCTAACCCGAGAGTGCTCGCTGCGCCTGTAGCGCGCCCTAAAAACCTGAAAGTGTATATGAGATAAGCGGTGCAAATACAAAACAGTACACAAAGTATCATTGACCCATTTATTAGAGAGAAAAGGATGGGGCCAAGACAAACGGTAAAGCCAATCAAAGGGGAAATACCAGCAAGAACAGAAAAAGGGGGAATAATGGTGTAGGGCTAAAACCTGACGGCGCAGCCGCCAGGAAACCTTGCGGACAACGAAACTGGAGCTGGTCAAACCTCTTATAGCCAAACGTACAAAAATGGGGAGAATCTGGAAGTAAAATTGCCGAAAAAGTCCTTGGAGCTACCGGCGGCAAAGCGGTGCCCGGACGCAAGAGACGACTGTGCGCGCGGAGAGTGCGCGGCGCCTGTCGGCTGGCTTCGCGGGTCTTGCCACGCGAGTGCGCCTTTATAAGGGTAAAAGGAGTGGTAATTCAAATATGAATATTCGCATTGAATGAATGCGAGAAAGAATAATTTCACAGAATAATATCGGAAATAAGGGAAAATAGTGAATGAATAATCGAAGCAAGTAATTCAGGGGGATTTTGCGGGGAAAATCGGTAGACCCTGAGTTTCTCTGCTTTCAGGTTGACAATTATCTGCGGGGAACCCGGTTTTTTGTCAACAACTGTTGTTGTCACTCTGAAAATTTCAGGGTCTACTTATTTTTTGTGTGAAGGTGTGTCTTCTAAGTGTCAGA